GAACGTAGTACCGTAACCTACAATCATATCAACTCGACTAAATCCGCCGGAGAGCGGATGATTACTTTTTTTTACGACAATTATTCGAAGAAAACGTTAGCAGATAATTATAGCAATTTTCTGATTATGCATCGGTATATTTTTTACTGAATTTTATTATACATAATAGCCGGTTTTTCGGTAATCAACAAGTTTTTATCCGGGAACATCTAAAATAATTATTAATAAACAGTAGCTAGATTGATTACGTAACACACAAAAAAATCATTATTGAATTCGAACGTTTTTTCTTCATAAGCTTCAACCTGGTATACACCGTTGGAAAATTATTCGCGCATAATAAGGAAATCAATGTTAAATTCTTAGCCGACTGAAATCCAGTCTACCATTGTACATTTAAAATTTAATTGTTCTACTGGACTTCACACCGCGATTTGGTTCGGTTAGATTTAAAAATCAAATAATTTCGACGGTTTCGACACTTCGACAGTATCAAAACGAGTTCGGATGGGTGAACGTCGAGTCGAATAAAAAGAAATGAGAATTTTAAAACGATAATTTATTGAATAAATATCACTAATATTAAAATAGAATTATGTAGATATGTCTTTTTGCCACAAAGGCTTGAAAAAAAAGTAAATTCTAAAAAGATAATGTAAAGGAAATTCCAAAAATTAACTTAAAGATAATTTTTAAACAGAAAATAAAAGAACTCTAAAAAATAGTCCACCACTTTCTGCTTAACAATAGCCACCTGTCATACAGATGTGATCCCATATTACTGAGCTGATGTATAATTCTAGCAGAAAATTGAATTATGTTTTCTCTTATTTCAACAAAATTTGTTGCTCTTTCAAAACTGTACCTACCGATACACATATTTTTTTGAAATATCCCCAAAAAAACTATTAAATGTAGTTTCTAAATAATTTTGTACCTCATACCTAACACAAATAACTTTGTACCTCTACAAATCGCGGCGTGCGGTCCAGTAGAACAATTAAATTTATTAGAATTGATCACGACATTCTATTAAAATGTATACTGGTAAACTGTATTTCAGCCGGCTAAGAATTTAACATTAATATTTCCCTATTATGCGAAATTAAATTTCCAACGGTGTATACACGAAATAACTATATACTCGTCGATTAAATCGATTAGTATTCGATTAACCCGTACGCAGTGCAAGTAAAACTCCCGTTCGGAATTGACCCGATTCCGGGGAACATTCAGCTCTGCCTACGGCCAGGCCGCGTCCTTCTTTCCTCGCATAATACCGGGAACGGTGATGTGCGATCGTTCCGGTATCCCAATGACCCAATTCTCGCGCTACGAGATCGTTTCATTGCCGACGAGCGGGCTCGCGCCCGTGCGGAAACAGGTTAAAGAATCGTTAAAACTTTTCGGGTTTCGCGCCCTCGGCTCGCGCCTCGTCCTCCGACAAACGTAGGTAATTACATTGTTTGCGAAATGATGCATCTGAATATCTAATAAATCCGTCGAGTTCTAATCCAACGGGAACGATAAATTACGGCCCAGTATTTGTCACACCGAGTTTCAAAAACGTTTTGGTAATATAAAATACGTTTAATGCGGGCGACAGGTGAACGAAAATAATAAATAATAACGATACGAAACTTGAAAATAATCTAATAACAATTTGTTACGCGTCCGCTTGCAACAGTTTAATATTTGTTCGTTGTGCAACATTCCTCACGTCTGCAGATTGGCGGTAAAAATAAATAACACGCTGTATGTTAGTATGTACGTTTATTATTAGAAACCGACTGGGAATAGTGCTTGTGGAACTTGTCAAATGGAAACGGGCCCGAACTTTCAGCGAATCCATCCCAAAGATTCGCGTAAATTCAAACCAATTCAAAAACCAAGTCGATTCGATAATGGAAATTGCGTTAATTCGGCGATTGCGCGATTACCGTTTGAGTGAATAACCTACAAACTTACATTTTCAAGTGCGCACCGTCGAAATCGATACTTAAAAGTGCAATTATTTCGAGTAAAAGTCGTCATGCAAGTGGATTTTGCGTTCGATCGACCGACAGTAGGAATCTTTGACCGATCGACTGGCGTTTCTCCATATAAACGACTAGTCGAGTCGAATTTAATCCGAGCGCCTTTTACACGTGCTAATTGCACGAATTCCCTACAAGAAGGTAGAGGTAGAGACTTTTTAACTAGCTCGAGTAAGTACCTACCATTATCCCCTATGAATAAGCGAAGAAGCTAACAAAACATAGGGCTAAGGTAGACCAAAAATGCAGAAAAATTAAGTTAGACTAGTGCTAATAGAGTTGGTCTAGAAGATTAAAGGTGTACTGTAAATCATGGAATTAGAACCACTGAAGAAGACCATATTATTGAGTTAAAAAAAGGGACCACTAGATGGGTCTTTCCAATACTATGGTAAACTGGTATTGGTGCTAAAACAAAAGTAATAAGACATGCAGCTCGATTGTAATCTCGAAATACAACATTCTAATGTTACTGTTAGAGGGAACTTAGATTAGACGTGATAGAAACGGTCGAAAGTTTCTTAGTGATTAGAAAAGTTACTTGGGAAAGACCTGGGGATAAGTGCCCAACTTTATTCTACTCTTTCTAACCACCCATCCTTTATTTCAACGACAAACAACTTGTGACATCAAATATTTGCCTTGGTCTCAATCCCAATAAGCACATTTAATCACTGAAACAGAAACTTTCCTATTGAAATTTTTCGATTGCGCAATCGTCACTGACCAATTTGTCAACGCTTTAAGAAAACCTTTTCAACTCGAAACTACATCCAACAAACAACAACAACAACAACGAATTAACATTACGGAGGATATTTCCATTCGATTCGAAATTCGAATGCATCGCACGACCCACCGACTATCCTCCTATATGTGAGCTTATAATAAAATACATAATATGTATATAACTGCATCGACTGGTATGGAGCCAAGGCCATCTTGATTTAGTAGGCTGACGGCGGGAACGAAACGGCGGCGATTCGTCGTTGTTTTCTAAAGTGCGTTTCGTAAATTGCACGGCCACACTGCAGTCTGCGGGATCTCGTACTCGGACCGGTCAGACGTCTATAAATGCTTAAATGCCCCCCTTTCTCGCCGGCCCGACGGTGTTCTTTCGCTCCTAAATGTATATGCAACTCCTTCGATTCTCTCATCGCTGGAAAAGAAATAGGTCCTTGAATTCCTTGGTTCGTTAGAACTAATCGTAGTGTCGGTTTAACGCTTAAAAAGTGCTCGGGGCGTATGGAGTGTAGGGTGATTGCGTTGCGTTCGATTGTACCTACTCGGAGTAAAAGGTATCTGGTAGAGTAGAAAAATATTTGCCCAAAGATAATGATTATTTTGTTGTTGTTGTGAATATACGTGCGAAGTGTGTTAGATCAACATACAACAGTGGATGTGAGGATGCATATGAGAAGAGGAAAAATACGGCCGTCAAGTGGTTTTTTTTAAGCCGCCATTATTCGAGCTTGTCACGCACGCACGTTTTTGTTGTTTCGTCTCGAGTGCATGGATATTTGCTTATGGACGTTCAGAAAACGCGAATAGTATATAGGGTGAGACGAATAATTTTATACAAATCGCGTTTGCAAGCCACCGTGTTCAAGTATGCACCATTTGGTTACTGAAAATGAGCCGGAGAACTATAAATTAATTGGTCAATAAAATTTTCATTTGGCACTAAAAAGCCCCGTCAAGAGTATTACCAACGTTTTGATAAATCTATTATTCAGTGATATTGTCTACTTTTTGCCTAAATAACCCTTTTGAACTGTTATTTATCAAAACTTCCACCTCTAATACCTCCTAATATTGTCGATTAAACAGCAAAATTGCATTATACTAGAGGTGGGGGTTGCTAAAAATAACGTCACTGTTAACTACTTCCGATACATCTTCTAAAATATTTCCTAACAATTCTTCTGCCGTTTAAATTAATAGTATAAAAATCTGATTGAGCGCTTTTACAAGATAAATTTCATAATCGAATTTATCACACGTTTTACTGTTAATAACAATCTTAAAAATGCGTTCGTAAAAGGATTATGTATAAAAAATTCAATAATTTAGAGATTTCTACGTTCGTTAGCGGTTGCATTCATCAAAATGACGCCTTCAGAGGCGGCTAATGCCGGGGGATTAGTGACAAAGACTTCGTTTTTCGAATATTCGGAAGCATTTCGTGGTCGCAACTCCGGCTGACAGAAGAATACGCAGATAAATATCTTCCGCGGCATTCGGCGGTGTGCTTTAAATACCTCGAATAAATCTTTTTCGAATCATTAGGAGAATAAATTAGCCGATATAATAAAGACAAATCTCCACAGTTTCTTCATCTCGGCAGGTATTACCTATTACGTATGGAAACTTCATGTTTATGTATATCCTCTTTGTAACTCGAATGCCGGTGATCAAGAAATGAGTGGAATAAGGCTACAGATTTAAATGGTGATAAATGATACTGCTTCTTAAGTGTAGGTAGATTACACATGGTGCATATCTGAAATTATTTGGAAAAATTCTCTATAAATATGCTATACGTATTAGTAGAAAAATTTCACTTTATTAAATCTTGTTAGGTGTTGTTTATGTGAAAATTCCTAATGAATTCGCCTGAAAACATAATTTTGAGGTCTTTGAATGAAAGTCGTGGTTGTCGAATCGAAAAATTTCGAGAAATTCAATGAAATAAAGTACCTACTTTGCATTTATGCATGTATAGGCTCTGTAAATCATGTGGAACATTTTCGATCTAAAAATAGTCAGTTTTAAAAAGATTTGAAGATCAATAACATGTTTGTAAGCGGCTTATTTGCACACCCATTCGTTCTCCTTCATCTTCAAAATTTAATATTGTTTACAGAGATTTATAAAAAAATCCCATTAAGTTTCAAAATAAACCGGCTCATTTTGATGCATTTTTTACTTATTTTCGAAATTAATTTTAATTTTTTTTTTCAGATCTACACTAGACATTTTTGAAGACTGTTTTTATGTAAGTATTTTTTATTATCAACTATTCTATACAGCAATTAGTTCAGTTTGAATTAATTACTTTATTCGTTCAAACTCATAAAATATGTACACAATGCACATTTTTATGCAGTTTATACAAAAAATACATTTTGATGCTCAATTTAGTTTTACTTATATCAGAAGATTACGTTGCCATTACTAGTAGATATACTACTTCCAAGATGACACCATATACAAAAGCTTGTTTGATACACATTAGAAGCACATGTTACGCACATAATGTGAGAAAGAGAAGTCGAGTTTTTCGCTTTTTATACGGGAGACTCGCGGACGCCATTTAAGTCTCACCGAACCGGCCTTGGTAACGTTTTTCAAACTTTCATTAACACTAATTGACGTTTGCGCTGCGCTTGTTTCAACCGCAATAATTATACATTCTCTCCGCGCCGAGTTCGCTGGATTCGACACAAAAACGCGTCATTAAAAAAAACCACGCTCTGTATGTGCGTATGATCGATTTTTGAGGCTAATGAGACGTAAAAATGGCGACGGTAATTTCGTGCCAAAAAAAATCGCGATTTGTTGTTTCTTTTATTGAAGCGTACAGTTTCTAGATTTTATAAAAAAATCGAATCCTGATACACACACTTAAAAATGTTTTGCATGTTACATATGAAGTTGAATTGCCACTGGCCATTTATTATTTGAAATGTCTTTTGTTAAATTGTTTTTATTATATCATGATTTCTAATGCATTGAAACACCTGTCTTCAAATTTTCGCTTCTGTACCCAAAATATATATTTTTTGATTTCAACTTTGACACTCTGTGTTTTTTTTATTTTCAATATTTTACTAAAGCAAGTTGGGTCAGATCGTAATAAACTGCTCCACAAAAGTTAAGGAAGTTCGCAAATTTTACGATTATTTTAAAACTTACAGACTTTTTGATCATCAAATTTTCAAATATGCGAAATAAAATGTTTTCTCTCATATATGAGTGGATTTTTGTCCCTACCTCTTACAACTCATATTAAATTTGGCGATCAAAAAACTTGCAACTTTTAAATTAATCTCAATATTTGTGAACTTCCTTAACTTTTGTGGAGCAGTATATTTTGAGGCCCAGAATCTTCCACTTCACTTTGACCATTACTTACGAACCACCTTGTATATACACTCTCAAAAATGTTTTGCATAAAAGAATAAACATTTAATACAACGAATTGTTTGTAAAATTACTCATCAAAATTAGTTTCCAAAAGGCATAAGCGCATCATTTAAAATTAACAATAAAAATAATTTAACAAAGTAACTTTAGAGTGACTCTAAAGTCGCGTCTTTAACTTGACACTTTTACATTGTTGTTAGGGAGTAACTAGGGACTAGACACGCGACTTTAGAGTCACTCTATAGTTAAACAGATGCGATGAATACGGGCCATTTTAAATAATTTGGAGCAATTCCATGTAAAATCTGATTTTCGAGCGTTTTTCCGAATGCGAAACCACCGCGTAATACGCGGTGTGGTTTAATTTGTGAAAAAATTAAATCACACCGGCCCGGATCGATATAAGCGGGCACGAGCCCGTGAAAAAAAGGGCACGGTCGCCTTTCCCTAAACGATCCGTATAAGAGAGTTTCAGTTTCCCGGCTTGATAATGTCGGTGTGGCATGACCTACGTCAATTTAACGGGCTGAGGTCATCCGTCTCCTACGTACAGTCATCCGTCCCTCTGTCGTTTTCTACCTCATCGTCGGCGTTGCCGTATCGGGCGAAAATTGTTTTACGATCGCGATAAAATCGACCGATTCAATTACATTTAATACAGGGAACTTGAATACTATTTTATACTACTTTCAATCGGTGGAAATGTTTTCTTCTTTCTGCATGTGAAAAGTGTATGACAAATTTCATATGGAGATGTAGGGTAGGGAATAGGGAACCATATCTCTTCTTTAGTCAACTCTACTTGCTTGCAATATAGTCAAATTTATAAATTAAAACAAGAAAGATTATAAAAATGCAATTCCGCAATATCACTCATTACTCTTTCTTCTTTCTTTGTATGAAACTAATGGAAATTGTTTTTGTTGTACCCATAGCCTACATTGCAAACAATATTGCATTTTCAATTTTGGAAATGGACCACCTTAAAATAAAATCCTTTAAATAAATTCTTTAAGGAACAATCTGTATAAATGGAAACTTTTCAACCATCCGGGACAATTATATTTCTATTTCGACACGCCTCTAGGTCAATTTTTTCAGTCACAGTCATCATCATTTCGCCGTCTGATACGAACATAATGCATTTGGTTGCACGCTAAAAAACACTATATAAAACGGTCATTAAAAAAACGAGTTTTTTTACACTGTCGTTCTAATGGATTAATAATGGATCGGATTTTTTTTTCAAACTTATTTGTTCTCCTATCGAAACCTAGACGTTGCAAAAATCACACAAACATCCCACTTCTGATTTACATCGAAACCAAGGTAAGGTACTCCGAAAATCGATTCCGGGCAATCGAATCGCACGATTCGCGAGTACGAAACAAGTTTAAACAGACTGTTTGTACCAGTGCCATTGGCTGACCTTGGGCGCGTTTTCCGACTACTTTTGTTTCATTAGCGCTAATTGCACCGAGCGATTCATCACTCCGTGTATTTATTTTTCTGCCGTCCAAATTGCCCTAATCCTGCGAAATTACCAGCGATTATTAGATCCTTTATGAAAATTAATTATCTCGTAATACGAAACGAACGAGGACCATGAGATTTGATCGAGCGGCGCCGACGAGTATAGGAAGCAAGAGAAAACACGTGAGGTGAAAAATAAATCCATTAAATCGTGTGGAAGTGACGTCGGGCTTTCGTTTCCGGTTTCGAGGACCAAATGTTCACCGCTTCTCATCGGTCGCACCGCTTTTAACACGTTTAAGTAATTACAAATCCAGAAAACACCTGTAAGTTGTAGAAAGTTCAACCACAACAGGAAGTTGCTTCGGAATCTCGATTTTTTTTTTCCAATCCTCGGTGGAATGTTTAGGCCAAAATTAATCAGAGTCGGCTCTTAACATCTATTTGGCTGTAGAATTTCTCTTCTTTTACTTGTTCCTTGGACCTCAGTGGACCTTCTTTGAATGCTCGTTGGCAATTTCTCGACTGCAGTGGATTCGTCTGTGAACTTTTGCGGGTTTTCTGAGCTACTCTGGCGTTGTTTTCGGTCCATGCAGCGGATCAGAAGCGAGCGACTCGGTGAAGACGATCGCTCGCTTGACCGATTCGCGCTCTCAAGGTCGGCCCGACCTCGGTCACAGCCCACTGCTCCCGAACAATTATTGTATTTTTTTTTTTCGTTATTATCGCGTTCCGAGCCGTTCCAAAATGCAACACAATCGTTCCGTTGAACCTTATTAACGAGAGTGCCGGTTAGTTATCCGGACGATGAGGATCAAAGATGCTCTGTTGAGAGTTCTTTGACAGCCTCAAAGTCTTGGTAGAAAAGACTTAGAGGAAGTGCGCCATATATGGACCACCATAAGCACTTTTCTCAATAAAAAGGCGAAATTTAAATTTTAATCAGGTTTATTTATATTAAACAACTCCTTAACCACTTAGTTAAGAAAAACTTATAATAAAATTCTCAAAAAAACCTTTGAAATAAATAATATTTTCTAAACTATCATTTAAATGAAGTTTCAGAAAGTGAACATAATATGGACCACATCCAGATTTTTCCATTTCTAGAATATAATTGACTAATTCATCTTCCAATTCACTCGGTAATGTTGATGGTCTCCCAAGTTTTTGAGTGGTGATATCACTAAGTGATTTGTTTTGGGTTTATGTTTTGGAAGCATTCAAAAAGCCCATTTTCTTTTCCGTGAATTTTTAATTGCCTCCGTCATTGCGTTTTTTATCCCATGCTTGTCTGATCTTCTCTATTATTTTAGAAGCAATTCTAGAACATAAAAATTATTTTTTAGCCACTCCATATTTATAACGTGCCACTGGTCCATATTGTGATACTTACCTACTCATTTTGAGATTTTTTTTTAGAAAATTGGAATATTATAGAATATTTAAACTTAATACAATTAATTGCAACATGACTCACCTTCATCGTGGTCTTATCCACTTACACATAAAAAATGTATTTTTTTGATTATAAAACATTCAAAGTTCGCTAGAAAATCAAGTCTGGTCCACATTTGGCGCACTTACTCTATTTCTTGGTACAAATATAAAATAATAAGTCGAGGCTACATTTCGTATACAGTGTTAGAAAATTTTTCGCGCATAATAGGGAAATCAATGTTAAATTCTCAGCCGGCTGAAGTCCAGTCTATACCAGTATACATTTCAATAGAACGTCGCGATGAATTCTAATAAATTTAATACTTTTTCATTTCGACTACATTCCTCGTTTATTAATATAAAAACATCCCTAGGGATTGAAATAAAATGAACGATGGCCTTTGCCTTTGTGTTCGTTTCGCGACGGCGAAAAAAAAAACCGCTCGCCTGACCTTATTGTTGCGCCTCGTCTGGACGAACCGTTGGCCCGGCTCAATATCCACCGCCTCCTGGTTGCGAACGAGGCTCTTTACAACTAGTTTTCCTTTGTTCTTGGCTCGGAAAAGCGGCTTTATCTCCGCTCCGATTTTACGCTTTGCCATGTACGGCGGAGCGCCGTCGACGCGATGAAAATTTGTGCGGTCGAAACGAATTAACAATGCACTAGGTCGTGCGCGAATTACGCTGTTGTTAATTGTTAATTTCGTATAGGGATCTTAAGGCCCCATTGGGAACTCGCGGTTAAGGTTGAATTAACTAATGACAGTAATGACATTAGTGATAGATTATAATCTAATATAACTGTCAGTTATTTGCGATTCATCTTGTATACTCTGCATGAAATATTTCTTAGGGAGCTATTATGTTTTAGTAAATAAGATCAAATTAACTAACTTACATTAGAATGCATATTTTATTAATGTTAATATTTGTATG